GGGGGGTGGGGTTACTGGGGAGACGGGGGTTGAGGGGACTGGGGAGCTGGGGGTCAGGGAGCCGGGGGTTAGGGGGACTCGGGGGACTGGGGGGCTGGGGGTTGAGGGACCAGGGAGCCGGGGTCAGGGGATGAGTGGGGTGAAGCCACCGGTTCGTAGGGTCTCAACCCGAAGGCCTTGGGATCGAAGCCCAGGAGCGGGAGAGCCCTGGGGGTGAGCAGCCCCAGACCCAGGGGTGCCTTCTGGGCAGGGGTGGTGCTGGAGGTGTGAGGATGGCCCTAGAGAGTTCCTGGGGGTGGCAGCAGTGCTTGGGCGTGAAGTCCCTGAGGTTTCGGGGGGTGCCCTACGGGTTTCCAAGCTGAGCTGTTCCCCAGGTGCCCCTGAGGTGCCTCTGTCCTGGACTCGTCCGTAAGTGTGAAGCCCTGGGCTTGCTGGTGGGGTGGGGGTCCCTCGCTGAGGTGGAGGATCAAGGAACTAACCCGACCCCTGGGTGAGGGCACGTGGAGGCGGCCCACCTGCCCTTCCCTGCGGCCGGCGGGAGGGAGGCCCCAAGCCTTGGTCCTTGGACTTTCCCTTTGGACTGGAGCCAGGGGTCAGAGGCCTGTCTAGTGCCTGCTCAACCCACCTTTGTGGACTGGGTCCTGCAGGGCCTGGGGAGGAGACCCGAGGGAGGGACCATGGGGTGTGTGTGTGCGTGGCATGCCCTGCATGCTGGGTGTCAGGGCAAGAGACTCCCCCAACCCTAGGACTCCCTGGGGCCCTGCGTGGTTGGTCCTGCTTGAAGAATGTGCCCTTGTCCTCCAGTGGGTGCTGGGACCAAGTGTGTGTAAACGGCCCCCAAAAGGGTCAGGTGTGGGGCCTGGACCGGATTATCATTCTTCACGGGATTTAGCCCCAGCATCTTGCCCCAGTATGCACCTGCCCCAGGTTGCCTCCACAACACGAATCCCATATTAGGCTCCAGTGAAGGGCCCTGCCTGTGCGGGGCGGCAGGAGCTCCCAGAGTTTGATGCATGTTGCTCTCTCTGATTTTGTCTCACTTGGGGGTAGAGAATAAGATGGCATCTAGTCCACCCTCATCCTTTTACAAGTGAGGAAACTGAGGCCCGGGAGGGGAGTTGAGGTATTCCAAGGTCACAGTGAGGTCTCCTTGGGCACCCAGTTCAGAGCAGGGAATGTTGAGAGCTGTTTTTAGCAGACTCTCATGGCCTCTGGGTCTCAGTGCTGTGCACAGGACTGGGCCGTGTTTTGAGGGAGGGCACACATGGTGTAGAAACTGCTCGTGGAAAGATGGATTGGGGTATATTTTTCCAGGAAAAAAGCAAGACAGCCTGTCTTCTGCTTGATAGAAATTTTTTCCTTTATTGAGATCCCAGTTTGGTTCTGGGTTAAAGATTTCTAGGGACAGACACATAGGGAGCCAAGTGTAGAAGCAGAGGCCCGGGGTGGCTCTTGGAGAGGTAGGAGCAGCCTGAGCCGGGTCAGCTGTCCTGAGCAGGGAACCGGAGGGACAGGGAGGGGCTGCCGCTTTACCATGTCCCTCTCCTCTTCCTCCTAATCAGAATAGCCCTTTATTGAATGCCTCCCGGCCAGGGCATTGGCCCAACAGTGAGGCAGCTCTCGGGTGAGTGCAGGATGTAAGCCGCTGCCGGAAGACCTGCTCCCTAGTTTGCAGAGGGGCAGCTTTTCTTCTCGCTGCTGTGTCCTTACACAGCAGGGAGGGACAGCGTCCGTCCTCGTTCCTTACCGCAGGGCACTAATCCTGTTCATGACAGCTCCACCCTCACGACCTAATCACCTTCTAATACCATCACCTTGGAAATTAGGTACTCAACATAGAAATTTTGGGGATGCAGACATTCAGTGCACAGCACATGGCATATTCTCCCCCATTCTTTTCCTTTTGACCTCCTGTGTCTTCGTGTAAGTGGATTTTTGTAGTGAGATCTGCTACCCAGTCTGAAAATCATTGCTAATAATTGAAGCCTTTGGGTGATTTACGTTTTATTATATCTTTGGTATGGTTGATTTCACATCTGCCATCTTCCTGTTGGTTTTCAAATGTTCCTGTTTTTGTTTTTTCCTTCTATTCTGCTTCTTTTTGGAGTGAACTATTTTTTCAGGGCTTTTCACCAGTTTTTCTGTTGGTTAGTAGTTGTTCTAATGATTACAACACTCTTAATTATTACAGACGGTGGAGGACTAATCTGCACACGCTGTTGTTCATGTCATGGTTGGCGCCGCTGGTCTGCTGTTTCGTCCTGGTCATCGCCTGTCAGCCTGAAGAGCGTTCTGCAGTGTCCTCACAAGGTGAGTGAGCGGGTTCCAGGTTCTCCTTGTACCTGTTTATCCGAGAGTGTCTGCGAGTCTCCGCCGTGGTGAAGACTGTGGTCACGTTGCCGCCTTCTGTGCTCACTTTCCTCCTTTGCTGCTTTGTGGACTCGACGCTTTGTGTCCTGCGCATCAGCAGCACCGCTGAAGCCCTGCTTTGGAATCATCTTTTCCTTGGCTGCTTTGAGGACTTTTTCACCTTCGGTTTTCTGCACGGGGTCTGTCGTGTGCCTGTTCATTGTCTTCCTGCAGCTTTCTGAGCTTCTTGCTTCTGTGGCTTGATGTTTTTTACCAACTGAGGGAAATCTGTTGTGGGTTTTTCCTGCCCCATTGTCTCTCTTCTTTCCTCCTGTGTTTTCAGTTCTGTATGTTAGGTGGCTTATTGTGGTCCGACAGACTCTGTTCATTCTAATTTTACCTGTGTTTTCCTCTTTTACTCAGTTTGGACAATTTCTGCTGATTGGCTTCAAGTTCCCTGGCCTCTTATCTGCTGTCTCCAGCTGTTGTTAAAAGCATCTAGTGAATTGTTTAATCCAAATATTTTACTTTTAAATTCCAGAATTTCTCTTTGATTCTTTATTTCTTTCCTTAATTTTTCATTGCTAAGATCCTCATTTCTTTCACCCCATATATCCACTGTTTTCTTTCAGTTCTGGAACATATTTAAGTAGGTTAGGATTGGCCTTCAGACCAGCAAAGGGGAGTGGCTTTGAGACTCACCAGGGGACGCCCATAGTGATGAGAACACGAAGGGCAGGGCAGGCCAGGAATTGGGACAACAGTCTTTGGGGAGAAACTTTCCCCTTCACACGTGTGTCCCTATCTGTGAACAGTGGCAGCAAAAAGCTTGATTAAAGCCAGTGACACTAGAGATCCTGCCACGAGCCTTCCCTTCCTGGTCTCTGGCGGGCTGCAGGGCAGGGGATGACCAGTTTCTCTGTTCTGTCACAGAACTTCAGGGAATCGCTTCACAAGTCCACGGCCAGTCCCCCCGTTCCCTGTGTCATGAACAGCTCTGCTGAGACAAACCTGTGGTTCCCAGGAAATGGTGGATGGCGATTATAAATACTGTTTCCACTGGTGACCTGGGTGATTTATTTAGTATCTGAAAAACCACTTTAGCACTAAAAGTGCTGTGTATGTTCCCTTGAAGCACCAGGATCTTTTTTTTTTCTGACCAGTAAGGGGATTGCCACCCTTGGCTCGGCGCCGTCTGCACCATGCTCAGCCAGTGAGTGCACCGACCATCCCTATACGGGATCCGAACCTGTGGCCTTGGCACCATCAGCAGTGCATTCTCCCGAGTGAGCCACAGGGCCGGCCCAAGCACCAGGATGGTAATGTCAGGAGGGCATGCTGACGGGCAATAAGGAATGAATTGTACACTTCTTCAAGTTCACATGTCCATTTANCCTTTGCTGCTTTGTGGACTCGACGCTTTGTGTCCTGCGCATCAGCAGCACCGCTGAAGCCCTGCTTTGGAATCATCTTTTCCTTGGCTGCTTTGAGGACTTTTTCACCTTCGGTTTTCTGCACGGGGTCTGTCGTGTGCCTGTTCATTGTCTTCCTGCAGCTTTCCGAGCTTCTTGCTTCTGTGGCTTGATGTTTTTTACCAACTGAGGGAAATCTGTTGTGGGTTTTTCCTGCCCCATTGTCTCTCTTCTTTCCTCCTGTGTTTTCAGTTCTGTATGTTAGGTGGCTTATTGTGGTCCGACAGACTCTGTTCATTCTAATTTTACCTGTGTTTTCCTCTTTTACTCAGTTTGGACAATTTCTGCTGATTGGCTTCAAGTTCCCTGGCCTCTTATCTGCTGTCTCCAGCTGCTGTTAAAAGCATCTAGTGAATTGTTTAATCCAAATATTTTACTTTTAAATTCCAGAATTTCTCTTTGATTCTTTATTTCTTTCCTTAATTTTTCATTGCTAAGATCCTCATTTCTTTCACCCCATATATCCACTGTTTTCTTTCAGTTCTGGAACATATTTAAGTAGGTTAGGATTGGCCTTCAGACCAGCAAAGGGGAGTGGCTTTGAGACTCACCAGGGGACGCCCATAGTGATGAGAACACGAAGGGCAGGGCAGGCCAGGAATTGGGACAACAGTCTTTGGGGAGAAACTTTCCCCTTCACACGTGTGTCCCTATCTGTGAACAGTGGCAGCAAAAAGCTTGATTAAAGCCAGTGACACTAGAGATCCTGCCACGAGCCTTCCCTTCCTGGTCTCTGGCGGGCTGCAGGGCAGGGGATGACCAGTTTCTCTGTTCTGTCACAGAACTTCAGGGAATCGCTTCACAAGTCCACGGCCAGTCCCCCCGTTCCCTGTGTCATGAACAGCTCTGCTGAGACAAACCGGTGGTTCCCAGGAAATGGTGGATGGCGATTATAAATACTGTTTCCACTGGTGACCTGGGTGATTTATTTAGTATCTGAAAAACCACTTTAGCACTAAAAGTGCTGTGTATGTTCCCTTGAAGCACCAGGATCTTTTTTTTTTCTGACCAGTAAGGGGATTGCCACCCTTGGCTCGGCGCCGTCTGCACCATGCTCAGCCAGTGAGTGCACCGACCATCCCTATACGGGATCCGAACCTGTGGCCTTGGCACCATCAGCAGTGCATTCTCCCGAGTGAGCCACAGGGCCGACCCAAGCACCAGGATGGTAATGTCAGGAGGGCATGCTGACGGGCAATAAGGAATGAATTGTACACTTCTTCAAGTTCACATGTCCATTTACACAAAAATATTGAGACCAATATCCAAATTCTGTTTAAAAGTTACATGTCTTCTACTGTGTAAATGTGATCACACAGGCCACCCAACACACACACAAACAGCATGTAAATATGCAATACACATCAGTTCCTGCTACCTTTCTTATGGCTTTTCTGTAAGTTAAAAAACTATATGAAAGTCTAGTAATTTTTTCTAAAAGGTGAATACAAATTAAAAACCTAAAAGATATTTTCACCTTATTTTCTTTAAAAAGAGAAAGAAAATGTTCAAGCTTCACAGATTGACCTACTCACAGTTAAATAGCAACACTACAAATCACAGATGGGGGAACAGCCATCCTGGCCCAGAGACACCACTCAGTGATGTGGGTGAGGGCTCCTGGGTCAGCATCACAGGTGAGGGCTCCTGGCTCCTCAGTGTCATAGATGAGGGCTCCTGGGTACCTGCCCCTCCTCCAGCAACTCCTCTTTTCTGGTGCACAGGCTGTGGTTCACACACACTGGCCCCATTGGCTGGCTCCATCCTCGCCAGGGAGAGATCACTGTCCTTGAGTGACCACTCCCTGGCATTGCTGCACTGAGAGTTCAGTGACACCTGGTGACTAGACAGGATGACCTGCTTCCCTGTGGCATGGGTGCCCAGGAGGCCTGGCCATGCCTGCATGGCTGTTCGTCACCCCGGGCTCCTGCCTGAAGCCTCAATGATCTCTCCGTACATTTGGCCTTTGCTGTCCAGACTCTTCACACTCAGCTGTTTCCATCTCTAGCTCAGGGGCTTCCAGAGGAGCCCACAAGATCCTGGGAGTAGCTGTGCCCCGTACTGGGCGAGGGGTGCCGGCCAACTGCTGGGGGCTCTGCCAGGTCTTCAACGCCCAGCATGTCCAGCTGCCTCTGTCCATTCCCTGTGCAGACCCTGCCTCCTGTTTCCCCCCGTAAAATCTGTCCAAATTGAACCTAGCAGATTTCCCTCTCTCTCTGTCTATATCTGCACCATACCTATATTATGTCTGTGTATTGATGTTTCTAGAGTATTTTCATTTTATGTCTTTGTTTAAATCTAAATATATAAATATTTTAGATAGAAACAGTTATAAATTGTTTTACATCTATGTAAATATATTGATTAAAATGATTTTATCATCTCTTTCTGTTAATTAAAATTCCTGATCAGCAGTGATCCCTGAGTACCTCATACGTGTCTGCACGTGTGAATGTTTGAACACATGGACACTGCATGTTTGTGCTGCAGGAATGACTGTGTTTGCGTGTCTGTACACGTTTCACACGTGTCCATAGCTCCATGGATCTCTCCAGTTAGGCATTTCGCCCTTCCTCACAATCTTCATCCTATTTTATTTATTTTCTGCCCCATTACTTTACTGGTTTTTATTTTTGAAAAGCGTTTTAAAGATCATCTGCTTGTTAAAGTCAATGAATCTTCCAGCCCTCCTTTTACTTGACTGTTCTACAGCATTTACTAGTATTTCTGTATTTTTTTTCCTGATTGTAAGTATCATACTATTCAATTCAGAAAATGTAGAATATGAAACAAAATAGAAAAATAAAGAAAAATCCCATAGTTATGCCAAATATTTTAACCTCTGTCAGCTCTTTTGTGCATTCCTTTTCCTATCTGTTTTTCTGTGCATACATCTGAATTTTTCACAGGTGGATGTCATGGGTTTAGATTCAACGTCCTGTGGCAACAATCTTCACATGATTAAATGAGTTACCAAAACAGGACTTTAAGTACCAGCTATGTCTCAGGAATTCACTGTTGAAAGCACTCAGCATGAATTAGCTCATTTGTTCTCCCAAATCAGCCACGAAGTGAATACTGCCATCATCCCCAGTTTACAGAAGATGGAACTGAGACTCAGTCACAAAATGGGCCTGTTCAGAAGAGATGCTGTATGAGCTGCAGGTTGCTATGGGAAGAAGCTATAGCAAAAGCCTCCTCCTGTGTCCAGGGTAGGGGGCCGTGTGCATGGTCCTCCTCCAGCCCCAGAGCAAGACTCCCACACCAGTGGGGTGAAGGGAGGCTGTTAATGCTGCCGATGCCTGGGCAGTTGGTTCAGGAGTGGTGCAGCCACGGGGCAGGGAGGCCGACCTGACCAGGACAGGGGCTTGTCCAGCCGGCAGCAGCAGACACCTGTGCTCACCTTTGGCAGGCGTTTTCCCTGGAGACCACCAGCCACGGGTTGCATATTGGTCATGTAAAACCCCTCCTTCCC